CCCAATCACTGCCCATTCATTGCAGGCCACCCTGCCAATATCAGGTGAATGAATTCATAGGTTTGAGGTTTTATCCTCCCAATTCAAGATCTTGGCCTTTTATAAAATACTTGCCATGCTTTTTGAACCATCCAGTGGAAAAAAAAAAAAAGGCAAACAATTCCTAGCACTAACCCCAAACTTTGGAAAAATCGAGACCCTCCACTGTCAATGAACTTAGTTGTTTCAAAGAAGACGCTACAAACTTCTAAGTTGAAGAGTTAACCGCTGCGAACAGGAACTCTGAATCTCTGTCGCTCAGCCATCACGGGTCACTTCTTCAGCCGCGACGCCTCTGTAGGGGACAGGAACCACCTCTCCCTGGCACTGCTCCAGTCTCACGGCGGGAACCTCCTTAGCGGCAGCTTCTTGGGGAAAAGACACAGGATTTGGGCAAATTTAAAATAAAGTCAAGAAAACAGTGCACGTACCTTTTGGAAACAATCCCTTGATGTTTTAACATAGCAAACATTCTAGAAAATGATTTTTTTCCATTTATAAGACACTCGTGTAAGTATTTCCGATGGCACCTATGTGCCTCAGGGGGTTCTGAACCTTGGTCCCCTAAGCTTTTAGGGCTGGATGATTCTCCGCTGGGGGGCTGTCCCGTGCGTTGTGCAGTATTTGCAGCATCCCCTGGTCTCTAGCCACCGGAGGCCAGAAGAATGCCACTCCTCACTTGTGACACCAAACATATCTCCAGGCACTGCCATATGTTTGCTGGGAAGCAGGCCCGCCGCTGGCCGAGAACCCATGCTCTACACCGAACGCAGGCCCTGCACAACTCGACAGAGGCTGAGCCACTCGCCTGTCTTGTTTTGGAGCTCAGGGAATGACGTCCCCAGAATGACAAAACCAGCTGCTCACAGGGCATTTGTCCCTATTGCCAGGGAGCCCATGCAGAGTCGGTTTGGGGTCATGCATTGCGCTGGGCACCCACTCACTGTGAGCCACGCCCGGATCCATAACCATCCCTGCCCACCCTCCAGCGGATTCTCACCAGCACAACGTTGGGAGCTTAAAAACAGATCGCTGTAAATCCGATGATACTCATCCCTCTACCCATTTCCCAAATTACTCCCCAAGAACACCCACACAACTTCACTGCCTGCCCGTGAGAAGGGCAGACAAAGAGCCCACACTCACCAGAGCTTCACCTTCTGTGGGTTCAAGGTTGTTTGAAGACAGGTTTGCTTGTGGTTTCTGGAAGCATTTTGGGGGGAGTGCGGGGAGAGCACTAAGACCCGGGTCATGCGTATGCAAAGGAACTATGATTTGTAGAGACCTAGCCCGAAACGCTGGGTGACCTAGAGCTGACCCACCGTCACAGCAAAGTAGAAGCCAGACCACTATCCGGATAAAACAGGTTAAAAACCCCTGAAATGCAAATTAAGTATTTTTTGCTAGTATAAGCCGGGTTACTTGTTTCCATTCACACTTTGCTTAGGGTGCGACAGGTGACCATCCAAAATATGAGACAATTTTTAATACACCCGATCTTATCACTGTCTGTCTTTAAACCTACGAGGACTTTCCCATTCCTGCCCTTCTGGAAGGCAAGCATTCGGGGCAGGCAGCATTCCGCACGCCCTTCATGACCTGGTCCAAGTGATGTTCCGGTTTCAACACCAGCGTAAGGCCGAACAGGAGAGGGTGTCAATGCGGACCCACCTCTCATCCCTTTGATTTTGTTCTTTGCTTACTTCAGGGTCAGTGTCCAGGAGGCTCAGGGTCGACACAGGCAAGGTGCTGCCACCCAGTCGTGGAGGCCCATGGCCACCGTGGAAGCTGGTACACTTGAACTCTGCTCCACGGCAAACAGGTCACCAACCAAGGGCTAGACATTTTCAAAAACCCTCCGTCCCCAATCGTTCGGTCTTCTGACGAAGGCTACTCTTACTCAGATAGGAGTTGGCCAAAGGTTTTTAGAGGCTTGAATAGATAATTAAAAGAAAATACTGCATTTAGGTGTCAAGCCAAGAGGTGTCTAATTAGCCGAGAAGTCATACATTTATATGGACATTTTGGGGTCCGTCCCAGTTAGAGCGTGGATCCCCGTAGCCTGACCTCTGGATCTCTTTATGGTGGTCGAAAGATTTGAGGTGGATCTCACCTGTTTATCTTCTCCAGTAAAGGGCTGTGTTCATTATTTGCCTGTTTGGTTAAGTGGGAACGAATGAACCCTGCTAACGGCAGGCCTGGTGTGGACTCGAGGGCCGGGCCCGCCTTGGAGGGGAGCTCAGGGCAGGTGGGAGAGAATCAGATAAATGTGACGCCGAGCACCAGGTGGGGGTGTGCAAAGCAGGGGCATAGCCCTGGGGTGTAAGTGAGGTGGGGCTGACCCAGTTGGGGTTCAGAGCTGAGATCTCCGGGATCCGCAGGTGAGATCTTGGGGATCTGTGGGTGAGTCAGCAGGAATTCCTGGCAAAGGAAAGGGTGAGTCTGGCCTGGCTGGGATGGGGGCGCAGTATGGTTAGGTGCCCGAGAGGGTGGGAGGCGGCGAGCACACCCGAGGTCCCAGCCTTCAGAGCGCTGGGTGCACAGGGAAGGGGTTCCGGTGGTGGATAGCGGGGACAGGGGGGAGAGGCGCTGAGATGGGGTCCCGGACATCTTGGGGAGACAGGGTGGACCCGGTCCCACGCCTGTGGCCTTGAGAAGTGGGCGAGGGCGCTGCCAGTGGGTCATGGCTTCAAACACCAGCGCGGATCAGGAGAGAACGAGGCTGGGGGTGGGAGGGACGGCAGAGAGGTGGCGAGACGTCAGTTTTAAATGGACTGACTGGGAGACCGCTGAGAGGGGACGCTCGCCGGGCAGCGGAATAGTCGCTCCCAGCCTGTGGAGGCTGCACGGGGGCTGCACAGATCACCAGGGACCTGCCGCGGCAGCGGGTGAGGGTCGTGCATGCAGGTGTGGGGCGGGCGCAGGTGCGCAAGTGATACAAGTGTGGAGGGGGTGCCGCCGTGGACGCAAGGCGAGGTGAGAGCGGCTGTGGGGAGGAGGAGAGGAGGAGGGGAGGCGCTGGGGGAACGAGGGAAAACACCAGTAGGGTGGATGCATGTGGGGCAAGCAGGAGGGGACAGGGTCAAGAGGGTGACCAGTCAGTGGTGCCACGGCTGCCGAGGAGGGACAGGTCAGTGGGACGTGCTGACGGGGAGCCTCCAGGCACCTCAGTGGGGTGACGGGGCAGAAGGCAGATGCAGGGGCCCAGGCGGGGCAGGAGTGAGCCCGCCGGGAACATGATGGGAGTTTCTGGACCAGGGAGGGTGGGCGTCATGCGGGGGTTCGTTTTTTCTTATGACACCTAGGTGTGTTTAAGGCTGGCAGGCGGGAGCAGGCCGGGTGCGAGCCACAGGCCAGCAGGAGATGGAGGGGAAATGCGGAGGTAGGAACAGGGAGGCAGGTGCCAGGTGGAGTCACCACGGGGCCTCAGACCTCAGACGGGGGCGGGGTGGCGGCGGTGGGACTCCTCCGTAAAACCATGAAAAATGGTGTTTTACACTGTCAGTGTAAAGACCAGTCTGGTCCAGGCTGGCTCCGTCGTTTTTATATCCGTATTGTGATGTTCATTTCTCTTCTGAGTTTACCCCGCAAGCGCAGTGGACCGACCTGTGCCTGCAGACGGAGAGGCCGGGGGAGCTGGGGGAGGATGGCTGGAACACCAGTCTGAACTCCTGTCCGAACTCCAGCCCGGGGTGGGAAGATGTGGGCATGTGGAAGGAGGTCTGAACAGCTCGTAGTGCCCCGCTCAGAAGATCTCCAGGCCCACCACCCACTTCCCAAACAGGGGGACTGTTTAGTACAAGTATATCTCAAGTAGCAGGTGGGATATACTCACCCTAAACAAGTATTCGTTGTTTATCTGAAATTCAAAGTTAGCCGGGCATCCCCTATTTTATCTGGCAGCTCTGAAGCAAGGAAAAACCTGGCCGCTATCCAGAGGAACATTCACTAGTCAAGGATTGGGGCTGGGATCAAAATATAGGGGATTTAAGAATGAGGATGTCATGCAAACGTTTTCCGTTTGTTTACGCGATAAGGTCGTGTGGTTTCCAGCCATGCTTTTCAGCTCTAAGATTCTCATAGGACAGGAATGGACAGTGTAACAGAACATGTCCGGAAGAGTCAGGTCTGTCCCCTCATGGAGCAGAACCTTTCACAGGGCAGACCAGACACAGGCCCTTTTTACTCTAACCTGGGAACCCACGTCTGCCCCCCTGAGGCCAACGGTAAAGACTCTGATGCCCACAGTGGCCCCAAAAGAGAGAGGTCCCCATCCTAACCCCCCCAAACCTGTGACTGTAACCTTATGTGGAACAAGGATCTCTGAAGATATAATTAGGTTAAGGGTCTCAAGATGAGATCATCCTGGATTTTCCAGGTACTACGTCCAGGGACAAGTGTCCTTGGAAAGGAGAGGAGAGACAGACAGGGAGGAAGGCTGGAGTGATGTGTCCACAAGCCAAGAGACGCCGGGAGAGACCAGCAGCTGGAAGAGGCAGGCGGGCATCTCCCCAGAAACTTCACAGGGAGCACAAGCTCTTTTGACACCTTGAGTTAGGACCTCCGGGCCCCAGAGGTAAGAGAGGGTAAGCCTGCGTTGTTCTAAAGCCACTCAGTTTGTGGTCACTGCTGCAGCAGCCCCGGGACATTTACACGGCACCTACCAGGTACAGGAGACAGCCCTCCAGCTTCAAGAGGGGGCAGCCTTTCGCCTGGGCAGCCTGGCCCGCCAGGAGCCCGTGTGACGGGGGTGTGTGGATGCCACCGGGGCAGGGGGGGGCTCTGCAGCTCTGACAGGTGCAGAAGCCATCAAGCCCACTGCGCCAGGGACCCACCCGGGGCAAAACGAAGCTCAAAATCTGCCCAAGGTGGCAGGGGGCGGCCACAGAGCGGGGCCCGGGACACACCAGTGCATCCCCTGCATGGTAACACCCAGCACCCAGGACGTGATCCCAAGAAAATCACTCGCAGATTAGAACCCCGTTTGTTGAAAAAGAGTTACCGTCTTCCTGGGCTGCCTCTTTTGGGATGGCTGGCTTTCTCTTGGTTCTTCTCGCTTTCCCCAAGGCAGCCGGCTTTCCTGGCCCCGAGCCACACTTCGCCGAGTGTCTCTGCATGTTACTCTGTTGGAGAAATGACACGGGGCGCATGGAGAATCAGCAGCCCCGACGGAATGCCATTTAGAATCCCACGGGTAAAGACCCAGGCGCTGGAAAGTGGGGAAACGTGTGCCTGGTATATTCTTTCTTTCTTTCTTTTTTTAAAAGATATTTATCTATTTTAGATTGAGAGAGAGCGCGCACTCAAGTGGGGAGAGGTGCAGAGAGAGAGGAACAAGCAGACTCTGCGCTGAGCACAGAGACCACCACGGGACTCGATCCCATGACCCTGAGATCATGACCTGAGCCAAAATCAAGAGTGGGAAGCTTAACCGACTAAGCCACCCAGGCGCCCGATGCCTGGTATGTTCTTGTACAAAAAAGGTGGCTTTTTTAAAAAAGGGGACCCCTCTGTTGTGTTTAGGTCTAGCCAAAAGTGAGCTTATTTTAAATATATATATATTTTATTTACATATATATAAATTTATATATTTATTATTTTATTATATTTATTAAATATATAAATTTATAGTAAATCTATATATAAACTTAGTAAATTTATTATAAATTTATATATTTATATATAAGTATATAAATATTTATTTTTGAGTAAATATAAATAAATAAAATAAAATAAATATAAAAATATATATTTTTTATCATAGAAGTCAATGAGAAGACAATATCTATTCTTCTAGAATGCGTCTACTCTCCAAAGTGAGGCTTGATGTTGAACCAGAGATTCAATAGACTGTCAATTTTAAGAAAATCAATCATACACTGTATGAATTTCACTGCCCTGCCAACCTCTCTCCTGACCTACCATGCATGGAGTTAGGGAACGTATACACAACACTCAAAATTAAGAGGGAAGTCACAGATTTCCCGGTCAAGACGATTAACGATGCATTCCTACATAGGAACACTTAGGATGACTTAAGTTAGGAATCTTCCACTGTTTGGGAAGTTCATATGGAAAGTAAGATCCTGGTGACGTGTCAGTCAATTTGCTGATGATATAAAATCTCCCACCTAATTTCTACTTGGCTTCAGCATGGTGCTCCGCTGGACTGTCCTGGTTTTTATGGGTAGAAGGGGAAGGATTCATGTGTAAGTGGAGGGGGAATGTTACGGGTTACTGAAACTTCTTCCATTTTGGGTTGGCAAACGATGGTCCATGGGTCAAATCCAGTCGGCCAACTGTTTTTGAAAAACAAGTTTTCTGGGGGCGCCTGGGTGGCTCAGTTTGTTAAGTGCCTGCTTTTGGCTCGGGTCATGATCCCGGGGTCCTGGGATGGAGCCCCTTGTCCAGGCTCCCTGCTCGGTGGGGAGCCTGCTTCTCCTTCTCCCTCTACCACTCTCCCTGCTTGTGTTCTCTCACTCACTCTCACGCTCTCAAATAAATAAATAAATAATATATATATAAAGTTTTCTGGAACACTGCCATGTCTATTTGTTTATGAATTGTCCATCTATGGATGCTTTTGTGTTACAACAGTAGTTGGGCCAGAAACTGGTCTGCAAAGCTGAAAATATTACTATCCGGCCCTATACAGAAGAAAGTTTGCCGATCCCTGATGTATATGATGATCATGCACAAACGGAGCCTTTTGGGGCCAAGGATTCTTTTGAGGATATGATGATCGCAATGGCCTCTTCCCCAGCAAAGCATACTCGTGCACACATACAATCTCCCTCCAAATTCATGAAGCTCATGGCTAACGACTCTGGACATCGGCTTTGGATTAATAAACAACCAAAAACACAACCAGCCTTTAAAAAGTAAGTGCGCTAAGATTTTAAGTAAACCAATATGACATTGGTTTACAATATGACAGGGGGCAGAGCGGTATGACAGACATATGCATCAGAGGACTGTTTCTCAAGAGAGGAAGGACCCAGCATTTGGAATCCAGAACAGGGGTCCTCACTGGGGAGGAAAGGTGCTCACAGCCCTATGACATTCTGGTGTGGAAACCACCACATGTTAAAGAATGAGAGTTTGTGAACGATGTACTTTCTAAAAATTAAATTGGATTCAAGTACCCAGATATGCACATATTTCTTTATCTTTAAAGAGTTCATATTTTAGGGCAGTTTTAGGTTGAGAGCATAATTGAGAGGGAGACAGAATTTCCCTTACGCCCCTTGCCCCCGCACACGCACAGCCTCCCCCCATTATCCGAATCCTCACCAGAACGGGGGATGCTTCTGTTACAATCAATGAACCTACATGGACACATCACAATCACCCAAAGCCCGTGGTTTACACTGAGGTTCACTCTTGGTGGTGTTTGTTCTGTGGGTGTGGACAAATGTATAATGACCATATCCACCATTCTATTATCACACGGACTAGTTTCGCTGCCCTAAAACTCCTCCGTGCTGCACCCGTTCATCCCTCCTCCCCAACCCCTGGAAACCACCCATCTTGTTACTGTGTCCATAGTTCTGCCTTTTCCAGAATGCCCCATGGTTGGAATTGTACAGTGTGTACCCTTTTCAGATTGGCTTCTTTCACTTAGTAATATGCATTTAGGGTTCTTTCATGTCTTCACGGCTTGATGGCTCATTTCTTTGTAGTCCTGAACACTACTCCCTTATCTCGATGGACCTGTTTATCCATCACCTACTGAAGGACGTCTTGGTTGCTTCCAAGTTTTGGCGATTATGAATAAAGCGGCTATAAACATCCGGGTGCAAGTTTTTGTGTGGACGTAAGTTTTCTACTCCTTTGGGTGAACAGGAGTGTGAGTGCTGGATTGTATGGTAAGAGTATGTTTAGTTTTATAAGAAACCACCAAACTGTCTTCCAATGTGGCTGCACCATTTTGCATGCTGCCCAGCAACGCCCAAGCGCTCGGTCTGCTCCACTTCCTGGCCAGTGTCTGGTATTCTCAGCGTTCTGGATTTTGGCCATTTTTGTTAGGTGTGTGGTGGTGTCTTGATTTATTTGCATTTCCCTGATGACGTACGACGTGGAGCATCTCTTCCTGTGTTTACTTGCCACCCGTATGTGTTCTTTGGTGAGGGGTCTGTAAAAATCCTTGGCCCATTTTTTAAATCAGGTTATCTGTTTTCTTAGGGTTGTGTTTTAAGAGTTCTTTGTGTATTTTGGATGACCGTCCTCTATCCAATGTGACTTCTGCATATCTTTTCCCCCTGTCTGTAGCTTGTCTTCTCGAGTCAGAGGTCGTGCATTTTAGTGAAGGCCAGCTTACAGATGATTTCTGTCATGGATGGCACCTTTAGTGTTGTCCCTGAAAAGTCCCTGCCAAACCCTAACAAGATTTTCTCTTGTTATCTTCATGGGTTTTATAGTTTTGCATTTTACCTTTAGGTCTGTGATCCATTTTGAATCAATTTTAGTGTAGGGTGTCAGGTCTCTTTCTAGATTTTTCATTTTCGCTGAGCACGGAATCCCACGACCCTGAGATCATGACCTGAGCCAAAATCAAGAGCCAGCCACTCAACCGACTGAGCCACCCAGGCGCCCCTAATGTGCAGAGACTCTGATAGGAATTGCACTGAACCTATAGATCAAGTTGTAAAGGACTGACATCTTGACATTGTTTTCTTATCCATAAACATAGACTAATTTTCTCCATTTATACAGTTTCTCTTAGATTTCATTCATCAGAGCATTTTTCGTTTCCATTGTAGCAATTCTTTGTGGTTCTTTCTTAGGATTTCCATCCCTCTGCTCGTGTTGCTTACCTGGTCTTACATGCCGTCTACTTTATCCACTAGCGCCCTTAGTGTGGGAATCAGGGCTGTTTTAAATTCCTGATGATTCCAACATCCCTGCCATGCCTGCTTTTGCTGTTCTGTCTCTCCAAACTGTGATTTTACCTTTTGGGATGACTTATTAAGTTTTCCTCATAGCTGGACTTGACGCCCCGGGGAAAAGGAGCTGCTGGAAACAGGGCTTTGGGAATGCGGAGGGGAGGTGTGGGGAGGGGGCGTGTTCTGTAGCCTGCGACCGGGTCTCACTGTGTCCGTGAGTCGTGCCTCTGGACTGTGAACCTCACAAGTGTTTCTCGGTTTTATTTTCCACCTCAGGTGGGACCGGAGGGCTGCTGTGGGCTGGAGTCGGGTGTCTCCCTTCCACCGGGTCACTTAGTTCTGATGATAGCCCAGTGGGTTAGGCTCTGGTGAACTAGTTTCCCCAGAGGGAGACCTTGTTTGTTAAGGAGAACAGAAGGTTCTGGGGTATTTCAGATCGCTTCCTCCCCTTTTCCCGGCTGGAGGGAAGCAGAAGCGGATTCTTTTTCTGACATTCACTGTGAGAACCTGGTCGGGCTCCTGGTGGTAAAACCCCCAGTACAGTGGGGGCCTCTGGGACTGGGACTGTAGTTTCTCTCGGACTTGTCCACCTGAGCCTCCAGCGAGTCTTCAATTACCATTCAGGTTTTCCTGCCCCGGCGCTGGTTCCCCGTGGAGGCTTCTGCCTGCAAGTCTCTGCTCTGGAACCCGTGACTCAGTGTTCACCTGTCCGTCTCCATTCTTCGGGGCGGTGGTTGGCCCTGTGTGCTCCCCTCTCCCTACAGATCCTAGAAGAGCTGATTTTTCAATCTATTCAGGTGTTTACTTGTTGTTAAGACAGAGTAGCAACTTCCAAGTGGAACCAGAAATGGGTTGTTTAATTTTTTTAACAGCGTTATTGAGATTTCATTCATATACCATAGAATTCTTCCATTTAAATTGTGTAATTCAGTGGCTTATTCCTAGTGTTGTAAAACCATCACCACCATCAATTTCAGAACTACATTTCAAAAAGAAACCCTACGCTCTTAGGAGTCACCCTCCGCCTTCCTCTCCCCCAGCCCCTGGCAACCACTAAGCTACCTTCCATCTCTGTGAATATTCTGGACATTTCCTAGAAAGGGAATCATAGAATATATGGCTTCTTTTAAGGTTCACCACGTTGTCACATGTACACATTCCTTTTAATGGCTGTGTAATATTCCACTGCATGGATATACAATGTTTTATCTGTTCATCGGTTGATGTACATTCAGGTAGTTTCCACTTTTTGGAGCTGTTTATGAATGACGCTGCTATGAATATTCGTGTACAAGTTTCTGTGTGGTCCTTTTGAGTATATGCCTGGGAGTGGGACAGCTGGACTGTGCACTAACTTTACGTTTCACTTTTTGAGAAACAGCCAGACTATCTTCCAAGGTGGTGTCACCATTTTCAGATCCCACCGGCGCTGTGGGAGGGCTCTGATCTTCCCGCATCTTTTGTTATCGGTCTCCTTTGACTGTAGCCACCCTCATGGCTGGCCCTACATGTTCTCGCTATGATTCTGCTTTGCATTTCCTGAGCAACGAACGACGATAAGCATCTTTTCATGTGTTTATAGGCCATTTGTAGATCTTGTGTGAAGAAATGTCTATTTGGATCCTCTGCCCATTTTTCTTTGGGTATTTGTCTTTCTATCCTTATGCTGTAAGAGGTTTTATACGTAGGCACACCTCATTTTACCGTACTCTGCTTTACTGCACTTGTAGGCGCTGTATTTTTTATAAATGGAAGGTGTGTAGCAATCTGGCATCGAGCAAGTCTACTGATGCTGTTTCTAGAAAGCTCATACTGTATCTCTGCATCACACTTTTTTTCTTTTAAAGATTTTATTTATTTATTTGACAGAGAGAGACACAGTGAGAGCAGGATCACAAGCAGGGGGAGAGGGAGAAACAGGCTTCCCGCGGAGCAGGGAGCCCGATGCGGGGCTTGATCCCAGGACCCCGGGATCATGACCTGAGCCGAAGGCAGACGCTTAACGACTGAGCCACCCAGGCGCCCCTCTGCATCACACTTCTGTAATTCTCGCAATATTTCAAACTTTTTCATCATTATTGTATTTGTTACGGTGATCTGTGATCAGTGATGACAACTTGCCAAAAGCTCAAATGATGGCTAGCACTTTTTAGCTATGAAGTATTTTTAAATTATGGTATATACTTTTTTTTAAAAGACATAATGCTATTGCACGCTTAACAGACTATAGCATAGTGTAACTAACTTTTATATGCACTGGAAAACCAACACATTCCTCTGACTCACTTTATCGTGAGGTACTTTACTGTAGAGCTGAAGCCCACGCTATCCCCAAGGTATGCCTGTATTCTAGGTGCAAGTCCAAATACACTTTCTTGAATGCAAGAAAAGTTTTCAAAACTTCTGATTGTATGTTCTGAGGAATTCTATGAGGCAGACTCATTCTTTTCTCTGTTTTCTGGTTCTTCACACCAAAGGGCAGGCTCTTTACAATGTTGACAAGGTATGAACGCTGGGTTTGGAGTGTTGTCACTACTTGTATTTGAGAATTTGAACTTAGGAGTATTAACACTCCAGAATTACCCAGAAAACCACAAAGAGAAAAGATAAAGCTTTCTCCTCCTAAAGAGTCAACTTCAGATAATTCAAAACTTTTATAAAAGCTAGCCGGGAGCGCATACATTGTCTAAGGGTCTGGCTCATCATCTGTCGTGGTTTTGCAATGACCACAAATTCTTCCACACTTTTCCTTTCGAAAGGAACCCCATCCCCCACCTCTTGAATGTGGGCTGGACCTAGTGATTGGTTTTTAATGAGTAGAAATAATGGGCCACTTTTAAAACTAGCTGACAAAGGGCACAGTTGCTCTCTCCCCCTCTCCCCCTTGCTCTGGGTCATGAGGCCACTCGAGCAGCCCAATGAAGAGGTCCACGTGGTAAGGAACCGAGGCCTCCTGCCAAAAGCCATGGAAGGGCACCATCTTGGGAGTGGAGCCTCCAGCCCCGCCAGGCCTTGGGTGATGTGGCCCCCAGGGGACAATATCCTGACAGTAACCTCATGAGAGACGCCGAGCCAGACCCATCCATCCAAGCGCCTCCCAAATTCCTGCCCCACAGAGAATGTGCGGTAATAAACGTTTGTTGTTTTTTAAGCTACTAAGTTTTGAGGTGATTTGTTAGATAGCAATAGATAAATAATACACCGCCTAAAAAAAAATAACATGGAAGACTAAATGTCTTTCTTATCAGAGCACCAGCAACACTGCTCTAAGAACGTCTCTGAGATATTTTGAAAATTGTGTCCTCTCTGTGAAATAGCCTAAATCTAATTCACAGGAACAATGTTAACATGTTACACTTAAAGCAGGAGTCTTTGCAGATTCTGGGGAGTATGAGAATTCCCTAAAACGATTTGTAGGATTTTGTTTGCAGAATTGCCTTTTTTCACGGAAGGGGAGACCACACTTTCGTAAGATTTTCAAGAGCTCTGTGACTCCAAAAAACTAATAACCACTTCCCTAAGGCAGGACAGATAGTGCCTTCAGACCTGACAAGTTTCTATAATTGGGTTTAAACTCCCTGAGTGTGTCAGTGCCCGTGAAACAGAGGAACCTCTTCGAGGAGGACTTACTGTGACTCAAGTAAGCTTACCCAGCGGGAGAAGCCCTTGCCACACTTGGGGCATTCGTAAACGGCCGGGATGAAATTGGCATCATGGTACTTCTTGAGGTGCACATTTAGAAGTTGCTTCTGTCGGAAACATTTATCACACGAGAGGCAGGGGAACGGCTTCTCTCCGGTGTGGGTGCGTATGTGAACGGTCATATGACGTTCCTAGGAGGGATGGGGAGGAAGACAAGCAGCTGAGCTACCTATGGGGACTTTCTTAGTCCTTGACGTTATTTATTACATACCTTTCCTCCCTCCCCAACGATGAGCATATGATTAAGATAAGTGAGGGCACAGTCTGGCCATCTAGGAACCAAACTTGTCCACCCTGCTGTGAGGCCACCAGCAAGCTCTGGGCATGCAGTGGAACATTCCTTGCGGAGTGAAACGATAATCACCTGGCCCTCCAAGAGAGCTCAGGGATTTGCAGCCCGACTTCTATAACTATTTGCAATGACCTGAGTTTACAAAGGGCAGATAGAGCCTGGACACAAAAATCTAATGTCAGAGGGGAGCCTGGGTGGCTTGATCAGTTAACATCCGACTCTTGGTTTTGGCTCAGGTCATGATCTCAGGGTCGTGAGATCTGCTCTCAGTGGGGCGTCCGCTGGAGAGTCTCTCCTTCTGCCCCTCCCCCTGCTCATGCATTCGAGATCTCTTTTTCGAATAAATAAATAAATCTTAAAAAAATTTTTTAAAAAATCTAATGCCAGAGTTTCAAGTCAGTGGCTACTTGGGGCTGGAAGAATATTAAGCCTCTAAATATTTCCCCTCCTGCTTCCTGATAAATATTAGGACAAATCTTACTATCTATTTAAAAGCGTAACAGTGATAATAACTCTTCTTAGCAAAGAAATAACCAAAAATTTTAACTAAGATTTACATCAGTAAATAATCTCGAGAAGCAGGACACAAATATATATAAGGTCAAGCAAAAGTACCTGTTTTATTTAAAACACTAGGATCACGCAGAGGAGACACATGCCCACTTCTATGTTATTGTTCATAACTGAATGGACCGTGTTTCTCCAAGGCTCCCTCCTGTGGGTACCCTGTTCCCCACCCGCCTCTCCTCTCACCTTCATTTCCAGACAGCGTGGCCCTGGTGGGACCTTGACTCCCAGGGTGGGACTGAGTGATGCTGTCCTGGGAGGAGGGTGGGTGGAAGGGCATGTGGGGAAGAGGGTCCTTTTTGTATTCCATTCCATTTCAATCCACTGATCTATCTTATACTTTGAGTGAATCTTTTACCTACATGCACAATTTTGTAAAATAAGCGACTGATTGGTCATCTGGTAAATCTCAGTTTATTGAGCTATGGAGAGCTTCTAACTGTTGACACATTTCATGACACTGTATAAAGAAATGTTTTCTTAAAATCGCTCCAGTCTCGTTAAAAAAGTCTTCAAGTGTTAGCAAGCTGTCAAGCTCATGGTGGTGGAAATGCAAACTTCTAATTGTTTATTTCCTCGTGACAGCTGAAATCGTATCTTTGCCAACACATCTTCCTTGAAGTGACAGACTCCCTTTATTTACTTTCAAAAAGGCACAGAGTGTTGCCACATGTCTGAGATGGAAGCGGTGGAGTCTGTCACTCGTTCTCTCAAGTGAAAACAACAGCTCAGGAAAGAGTGGCTAGTTGAGCTGGCAACTCGGACAAGGCGCCGGGAGCTTCCGTCCCGATGGCCACTGGGTTTCGGGAGACGGCAGCGGTACCTCATCACTGCAAGTATTCGGGGTCAAGACTGAACGAAGCCGGTGACTGTCACCACCCCATCGAGAACAGTCTTAAGGAAAACTGCCTTTATCTTTGCAGCCAGCACAGGACCGTGAGGAACACAGTGGAGACCAGTCCTGCTTCGTCGCATCGCTGCTCAGCTTGGTTCTGACACACCTTCTGACGCACGCCACTTTGGTACCATCACCACCCAGGTCAACATAGCGAAAAGGGCAAATACTGTGTTGGCGTTAATTAATTAGTTAATCATCTTGATTTACGGCCCTGACTGGTTTCAAGGACGTGCAGGAGTCGTAAACCGTATCTTTTTTTTTAAAGATTTTATTTATCTTAGAGAGGAAAGAGAGAATGAGAAAGCACGCACAGGGAGGGAGGGGCAGAGGGAGAGAGAGAATCCTCAAGCAGACTCCTCACTGAGTGTGGAGACTGACTCGAAGCGCGATCCCACGACCCTACGACCCTGAGATCATGACCTGAGCTGAAGCCAAGAGCTGGATGCTTCACCGACTGCCTCACCCAGGCGCCCCTGTCAACCATACTTTGAAGAACTGTAGCTTTGACGTACTGGCCCCTGGCTGCTCTCTGGTTATTCTGAACACCATCTTCCAAGAAAGCATGACCTTGTTCAGTATTTTCAAAGTGACAGAGGACCCCCTTCCGACCCGCCGTTTTTGCACACCCCGCTGCCTTCCTCTGCCCCCCCAAATCGCCTGAAACCTGGTACCTGCTTGCAGGCATAACTACAGTGTTCACACTTGAACCTCTTCTCGTTCTTATGAGTCTTCTGGTGCTGAATGAGGGCGTAGCGTTCATGGAAGACAGCAGAACAACAGCGACACTTCATCTCTGCGGCCTTGTAAGTATGCAGGTTCCGCAGATGGACACCTAAAATAGCGACAGAACGGGGGGCGCTGAAACCGTATTACTTCTGTTAGCTGCTCTCCCAAGCTCTGTGTCGGGGCTTCTCCATCTCAGCACTACTAGCACCTGGAGCTGGTTTCTTCTTGGGGAAGCTGTCCTGGGCGCTGTAGGAAGTTTAGCAGCATCCCTGGCCTCCTCCCAGTACATACCAGTAGCATCCTTTCCTCCCCGGGTGTGACAACCAGAATGCCTCTAGATATTGCCAACTGCCTCCCAGGGAACGAAATCCTTCCCCGCTGGGTGCTACTGCTAAGAATGCACCGCATGCTGACAAGTCCGCTGAATACCCTTTTCACCACAGAGTGAGATGTCGTTTAGGCTGGGGCATATCGGACCCAACGTGTTCATTGAACAAAGCACCTCGAGAACCTCATCATGGTGCGGGCGGGTTTTTGGGATAATGTTAAGGTGGTTTCACATTAAAAACATATAACTTCTGTATCTTAACTTAAAAAAAAAGCCCAGATGTTCTGTTGGAAGTCAATGCCCTGGTTTTTTCCTCTGTCGTAGCTGACCTAGGACTCGCAGTGAGGTCTGATTGGACACGCTCTAGAATAATTTCTGCTGAACTGCGTCTAATGCGTGGTGGTTTGTGGTCCTTTGTGGAAAAGGCCAACCCCAACAGACACCTGGAGGAGGTACACCCTCGATGTGCTGACTCAGTCACTGAGGAGCCTGATCTCTCCAGTGGCGGCAGAAGACTTCACTGGTTCACAAAGCATCTTACCAGGTACGAGGAGTGGGCCGCCTACTGAAATGGGTGTGACCTACATCATTTCGTGTTTCCTTTCTGGGCAACAGGCTTGTGGTTCTTGTACCCTACAAAGTCCCACTGGGCTGTGTTTTGTGGCATGCCAGTAACTACCGTAACATTGACAGAATGTTCCAGATTTTAAAAAAAGAAAAAGTTAAGGCTTCATAAAACATCCTCACTCTTTCAGAAATGTTCTCAAAACCGTGTATCTCATCTCCGGAATTTCTCCGGGCAGATCGGTGACTTATATTTGTGCTAGCATGTTGAGTGTTACATGCTTTGGTAAGAGAAGTAAGATCACGGAAAATGGGAAGCCCAGGAGCCCCAAAACATAGGAGAGAGGCTCATTCACTCACGGTTGCTCCCACTCCTAAACACTGCCTGGTTTTCCCTGTGGGCAGGATAAAACCCAGACTCCTAAATCTGGCATTCAGAGTCGCTCATCGTGCATTCCATTTTTGCTCTGTGATGTTTCTTGCCATTGAGAGGGCATACCGTATCACAGCAAGGATTTCAGACCATAGGCTGGCCTCTTTTACTGAAGTGAGTTCCCTAAGGAGAGGGCCGTTTAAGTTCTTCCTTTTGTAACCTCAGCACCCTGAACTTTTTAGGATCACAGCAAGAGTCTAAGAAAGGTTTGCAGAGTATCACTGATGAGAACATTAAGAGAGTCAGAACCTACCTCCAGGCCACCTCCCGGCACCCTGGCACCTCCCAACTTAGGGGACCGTGGAGCAATTCATGCTGTCTCTCTAAGCCCCTCCATCATCTGTAAAAACAGGCCTGCTATGGAATGAAACAGTATCCGTGGAAGTGCTTTAGGAGCTTAAATACCCGTGACTGCTTAGCGGGTGTACCTGGAAATGAATGGGCGCTAGGCCAGGACTCCAAAAACAAGCCATGAACCCGCACTTCTGCAATCTCGCCACTAGATGGCACCACAGGACCTCTGAAAAAAACCCCTCTTGAGCTGGTCCTGCAGACCAAGGGCCTCCCTGTCATCAGGCCCAGCGCTCCACGGGTTTCCAGGCTGTGCCCCCTAAGAGCCAACCAGTACTGTCCTTAAAGGAAGTTCAGGAAGCCAGACACTCACGCAGGTCGCTCTTCCTCGCGATGACGGTGGCACAGTGCGGACACTGGTATTTGGGGACATTCTCGCTGTGCTTCTGTAGGATGTGTATTTTCATGGTGCCGCTCTGGGTGAAGCGTGCGTGACAAACGTGGCATTCGTACGGCTTCTCACCTGTGACACGGACGACGGAAGTGACCCTCTGCACGGGGGCTCCGCCCAGCAAGCCCGGATCCTCTCCAACGCTCCCTGGAGCTGAAAGCCTTTCTTTTATCCCCGAGGCCCCTCTCTCAACCCCTTCCTTGTGTATTTAGCCCCACGGTTGGAGCCCGATGCCCAAATCAAGCCCAGACAACGTTACATCAAGTACAGCTGTGGGGACGGCGGCCCAGACCGGCGGCCCTCCTACCATCTGGGGGCTACTCGTCTGCTGGCCACCCGGTTCCCACCCTGGTGTATAGAACGAGACACACACGTAAACATAGTCTTCATACAAAAAATATATATAAAGTAAGTGCTAGAAATACCGTACAATCCACTAATTCCACTTCTGGGCATTTATGCGAAGAAAACAAAAGTAGTGATTTGGAAAGATACGTGCCCCCCGTGTTTATTGCAACGTTACTGACTGCAGTTGAAATACGGAAGCAGACCGACTATCCACTGAGCGATGAAAGGATAAAAAAGAGATGGTGTATATATATGTTTATATATAAAATGGAATATTGCTCAGCCATCAGAGAAGCATGAGATCTTGCCATTTGTAATGAATGACATGGGTGGACCTAGAGGGAGTTACGCTAAGTGAAGAAGTCAGGCAGAGACCATAGGATTTCCCCTGTATGTGAGATCTATGTCACAAAACAGACAAAACAGACTCATAAATGCAGAGAACTTGGGATTGCCACAGGGGCGCGGGGTTGAGGGACGCGCCGAGAGATGAAGGGGATTAAGAGGTATGAACCTTCAGTTGCAAAATAAAGAAGCTACGCGGACGAACAGCTCGGCCTGGGGCACGTGGTCGGCGGTACTGTAATCACGTTGTACATGTGAGCTTGTGCGGTGGCAGAAGGGGACCACACTTACGATGACATCGGGTACAGTATGTGACGGGACAGTCTCTCTGTTGTACACCTGAATCTAGTGTATGTGTCAACCATAGATCCATTAAAAATAAGTAAAAAATTAAGTGCATTACAAAACCAGCACACTTTACATTCTGCCTTAAAATTGGAGGGTCAGTTACCAGGGGACTTAAATCCCCGACACACCCACAGAGGCAGACACGGGACGGCGGTCTGCTTCTCCCCACGGCCCCCCACCCCAAGGCTAAGCGCACATAACGGTGCGGATCAAAGTCCCCATGTCAGGAAGAATGAAGATGCTTGCTCTGACATCTGAGCTTCCCACGGGCCTCGAGGAACATTCTGTCCAGGATCCCTTGGAACAGGGACACCGCACCGAACCAGCGGGGCCTCCCGCGCGGGCCGGCGTTACCTGAGTGCGTCCTCATGTGCCGCTTCAGCTTGTAGGTGTCTTTGCTCGCGTAGCTGCACAGAAGGCACTGGAAGGGGCGCTCCCCCGTGTGTGAGCGGATGTGGCGCTTCAGCTTACTGGCCTGCGAAACAAACAAGGGGCACGGAGCGCCATCAACACTTAAGAGTCCTGAGAGTCTTCCATTAATCAGCATGATAAAAGATCTGGAAATTGCTCCTACGTTAACGTCAGCGCGGATTTCACGGGCCCAACATGGTGCACCGGTCATGACTTTTTGTTTTCCGCCCTGACGTTTTCCGTTTGATGCGTGCATCTGAGGTCCTTGGTGGGTAACGAGCGGTAATTTCAAGAGACTCTCAGACTCAACTTCACTTTACAAAGGGAACACTGAAATCTAGTGGCTCAGAGCCATACAGGATTTGGTTTTCATTTCCAAAGCAAGTTTAGATCAGCTCGCAGAGGCCAGAAGACATCTGTTGGCGTAAATAACGCGGGAGCCTTGAAACAGTGGGTCTTTAATGGACCACAACGTCCCTGTGAAGCATTTCACAGTTGCGAGTTCTGTGGACCCGAAATGGCACGGGAGTGGAGAGAGGCCTCCCTTTCTAGTAAGGCCAAGTTCTAGGTGTTAGTGGTTTCTTTATAAGAAGAAACTTTTAAGTAAAAGGAAGCAACTTCTAATTTGATTAATTACACATCCCAGGCAATTAATTAAAAGGCAAACCTCATATTCCCTCCGTTTGATCTTTTTTTTTTTTTTTGCTTGACTGTTTGATCACCTTCTAGAACTGTTCTTTTTCTGTACGCACTTACTGCAGGCCTTTATCTGCCTCGGGCGGCTGTTGTCAGAAAGCCAGTGTCAGCCCTACCTGCGATCTCAGGAAGGCTAGGCTCGGTCTGGCTCCCCAGTAAGGGACAAGCATTCATAAGCCTGGAGAACATTCGAGAACAACAGAAGACTTAGAACGGAAAACAAGGTCTGAACGGAAAGCTTCAGCTTAGCATTTTAGAAGCAAAGTGGTCGTCTTCAAGTCTATGAGGAGGCAAAACAGAAAGTGTGAACAACTGCAGCATGAAAGGTTTGCTGAGCCGGGCGGCAAAGGCAGCTGGGCAGAAACGTCCTCCGTGGCTTCGGAGGGAGCAGGGAATGAGGGGCGCTCACAAGCCGTCGGGAGTGTGGTAACCTGCCCGCAGCCTGGATACATTCCTGCTGGCCCCAGCGTGAAGGGACGGTGCTAGGGGAGCTTAGGCTACTACCCCTGCCCCTTACAACAGAGCAGCAGGGCAGGGCCTGGAAACTGCACAAAAGGGGTGAGAGCCGTGGCAGAGCGTCCTTCAGTGTAGGTGAGGGACCTGCGTGTGGATGGCCCGTCCCCGAGAAGGGTCTCCGCTGACACGCGAGCTTGTGCTGAGACGGCGCAGGGCACCAACATGGGGGCCATTCGAGTCAGGGAGTCTCAGGTGGCTTTGTGCTTTGAAACCTTCACTGTGTGTTTCCACACACAGCCACCACCTTTAACTCCGATGACAAGTAATTTTTAAAAATAGTAATAGGGGGAAAAATTTCTTGGAACCAAATCCTGACGCCGTCTGTGAGCTTCCCTCGTTTACGAAATGTGGTTGCATCATGCCTATATAAACTCCAGCCCTCCCCTCTAACTCTGTTCCGAGTGAGTGTGTGATCTGTCCCCAACTGGGCTCGGACCCAGGACCCAGCGTGCACACGAACAGAGCACAACGGAGCCCTTAACCCTTCCTTGTAGGGAGCTGACTTTGCAGAGTAGGTGTCCCAGGCGGCTGTCATTCCACTTGGAGTGTGGCTGAGCCAGCCAGAAGGTATAAATAAAACAGTCTGGCCGAAATGACCATGACATACCACTGAAGTCTGAGAAAGGTGGTCTCTCTATAATTAAGAGAGGAAATGGGCCACGTCTGATTCTTCACACAAGCTGTTTTGTATCTGACCAGGTGCCACTGAGGAACGGTCCTAAGTTGCAGTGAAAACTCAGATTGGTTCTGTGTTCTCTTAGACCAAATACCCCTGGATTTTGTAGAACAGAGTTACACTCCGTAAAACGCCAGATAGGACTTTCTAACACATTTGAGAAACATCTCTCAAGTATAAGTAATTTCATTTGTAATTTTGCTGTGGTTTCACTAATTGGGAATCAAAGAAAAAAATTCAATTTTCTATTTTTCTTTCTTTTTTTTTTTTTTTAGAGCGAGAGAAGGGCAAGCAGGGGATGGGCGGCAGAGAAAGAGAATCTTAAGCAGACTCCATGCCCAATGGGGCTCAATTTCGCAACCCTGAGGATCGTGACTTGAGCCGAAATCAAGAGTCAGACACTTAACCTACTGAGGCACCCAGGTGCCCCTCCAATTTCCTATATTAAATTTAGAAAACAGAATGAGTATTATTTCCTGCATAGATTTTGTATGAATAATATCTTTAGTGAAACCTATTTTGTAAGAGATTCTATTAGCGTAGCTTAACTTTCACATCAACTTCTTACTAAGAGTGCCATGAAGCTTTAAGTACATGAGTGAACTTACTTCCACACTGGCGTACTTGCACATGGAACACTTAAAGGGTTTCTCGTGAGTGTGTTTATAACGTCTGTGTCGGACAAGTTCTCCACTGGTAACAAACGCCATGTCACAGTCACCACACTTGTAGGGTCTGGTTCCTGAAAAATCCCATAGTTTATCCTATTAAACAAGGCTTAGCCACACAGTTTCCTAGGAATTTATAACCTATAAATTAGACTCAGTTTCAGAATGCTTTAAAAATTAAGAAGAGACCCTTCATAATCACAAAAACGCCAGACATATAGGAGAAAAATCTTTATAACATTTGATGTTTTTAGGCAAAATCGAAGACAAAACTGAAGTCGTGAAACCAAACATGTTATTTTGACGTGCAGATAGGTAGATTTCGCATTCGTATATAATTTTAACACTTATCCTTAACAGGAAAGATCCTTCTCTTCTGGTTTACCTGTGTGGGTGTTGACATGATTCCGCAGAAGAGTGACGGTGCGGAAGGCTTTCAGGCAAAGGTGGCACATATGGGGCTTTTCAGCGGTGTGAGTTTTCATATGACGATTAAAACTCGAAATTCTAGAAGAGGTGAACATGCAGATATCACAGTGGAAGGTTCGTTTTATTTCTGCAGGAAGAAGAAGATGGAGAGTTTACAGATTTGTAAAAATCTTCCTTGAGATGTTCAAATTCCACTGAAACACAGCAAAGTAACTTGGCATGTCCTTTTTTTAGTGTCATGGGGTAACCCAACAAAAAACATTTCATGCAAACTGTAGTAATAGACAAAACAAACTTAAGACAAAATCTGTTACAAGAGACAAGGATATTATACAACAAGAACAGAGGAAATTCATCACAAAGGTAGACCAATCATAAACATATACGTGCCTAATAACACAGCCCTAAAATATCTGAAGCAAAAATTGACAGAGCTGAAGGTAGAAAGAAGCACTTCAGTAACAGTGGGAGACTTCAATACTCTACTTTCAACAATGGAGAGGACAACTAGACAGAGTATCAGCAAGGAAACAGAAGACTTAACGCTATAAACCAAACAGACATAACAGATCTACAGAACACTCCACCCAACAACAGCACAATAGACGTTCTTTACAGGTGCATACAGAACATTTTTCGGGAAAAACCCTGTGTTAGGCCACACGACAAATATCGATAAATTAGGGGCGTCTGGGTGGCTCAGTCAGCTGAGCGTCTGTCTGCTTTCGGCTTGGTCGTGGTCCTGGGGTCCTGGGACTGAGCCCTATGTTGGGGTCCTGGGATTGAGCCCCACATTGGGTTCCCGGCTCAGCGGGGAGTCTGTTTCTCCCTCTCTCTGTCCCCCGGCTCGTGCTCTCTCTCTCTCTCAAATAAATAAAATCTTTAAAAAAATGTTGATAAATTTAAAAAAAGCATAGAAATCATATGCTCTCTGACCATCATGACATGAAATCAGGAATCAATAAAAGAAGGAAATTTGGAAAATTCATAAATATGTGGAAATTAAACAACGCACTCACAAATGACCAATGGGTCAAAGAAGAAATCACAAAGACACTGTGGAATACTCTGAGCTGAATGGAAGTGAAACCCCAGAGACCAAAGCTTACAGACTGCAGCTAAAGCAGTGCTCAGAGGGAAACTTTTAGCTGTAAACACCTACACTGAAAAAGAAAAAGCATCTCAGATCAATAACCTAACTTTACATCTGGAGGAACTAGAAAAATAAGAGAAATCTAAACCCAAAGCTAACAGAAGGAAGGAAATCATGAAGATCGGAGTGGACATAAATGAGATAGAAAACAGAAAAATAACAGAATCGATAAAAGCAGAAGTGGGTTCGTCTAAAAGATCACCATTAACAAATCTTTACCTAGACTTGCAACCAAGATACAAAGAGAAAAGTCAAATAAACAAAATCAGGAAGGAATGTGGGGACATTACTATCAACTGTACAGAATGAGAGGGGTTATAAGTGAGTACTTTGAACGACTGTATACCAAAGAACCAGATGACCCAGATGGAATGGAAAATTCCTAGAAACACACAAACTACCAACATTGGCTCAAGAAGAAATAGAAAATCTGAATAGCCCCATAGCAAATAAAGAGATTGAGTCATTAATCAAAAAACTACCCACAAAGAAAGCCCCAGGACCAGAGGCTTCACTGGAGAATTCTACCAGAAGCTTAAAGAATTAACATCAATCCTTTTCAAAGTTCCCACACAGAAAAGTAGGACACTTCCTAATTCATTCCATGAGGCCAGTATTACTCAGATACTAAAGCCAAAGACACAAAAGGAAAACTATGGACCAATACCACTTATAAATATAAATGGGAAAATCTCCAATAGAATACTAGTAAACCAAACCCAGCAGCTTATTAAAAGGATTGTGCACCAGGACCAAGTGGAATTTATCCCAGGAATGGAAGGATGGTTCAACATATGACAATCAGTGCAACACACCATATTAACAAAAGGAAGAGGAAGAAAAGCACCATCATCTCAATAGATTCAGAAAAAACACTTCACAAATTCCAATGGCTTTCATGATACAACACCCAACAAACTTGAAATAGAAGGTTTATGGGTTGAATTGTGATCCCCCCAAAGATGCACTGAAGTCCTAATGGCAAATATCTGTAATGATGACCTTGGCAGATGTCATCAAGCTTAGATGATCATATTGGATGAGGGTGGGTATGACTGGCGCCCTTAGAAGAAGGGGAGAAGAAACACAGGTAGACACACACGGGGAGGGAGAATTTTCCGTGACAACAGAGACAGAGACCAGTGACACAACTATGAGCTAAAAAAAATGCCATGATTGGGACAATTCCAGAAGCTGAGAGAAAACACATTCCTGGAACACATCCCTTCCTAGAGCCTTCCAACACCATGATCCCAGACTTCCAGCCTTCGGGACCGTGAGAGAACACCATCCTGTTCTCTAAGCCACCCAATCCATGGTGTTTTGTTGCCCAAGTGCCAGGAAACAAATACAGGTACCAATTAAAAAATAGGCAAAAAGGGGCGCCTGGGTGGCTCAGTCGTTAAGTGTCTGCCTTCGGCTCAGGTCATGATCCCAGAGTCCTGGGATCGAGCCCCGCATCGGGCTCCCTGCTCGGCGGGAAGCCTGCTTCTCCCTCTCCCACTCCCCCTGCTTGTGTTCCCTCTCTCGCTGTGTCTCTCTCTGTCAAATAAATAAATAAAATCTTTAAAAAAATAAAAATTAAATTAAAAAAAATAAAAAATAGGCAAAGGATTTCAGTAGACCCTTCTCCAAAGAAGACATACAAATGGCCCATAAGCACATGAAAACATATCATCTTGCAGTTAATTTTTTACCATCTTCCTACATCATTAGCATCAGGGAAATACAAATCAAAACCACAACGGGGTCACTCTTCATCTCCACTGGGATGACTCTAGTTTTTTTTTTTTAAATGGAAAGAAGTGCTGGCAAGGGTGTGGAGACCCTGGAACCCTCCCACACTGCTGGGGGGAAAATGTAAGTTGGTGTAGCTGTTGCGGGAACCGGGAATTCCTCAAAAACCGAAATATAGACTGAAATACAGACCGACCATATGACCCAGCGATTCCTTTCCGTTCCTATGAACACACCCAAAAGAATAGGAAAAGAGCGTGCAAACAAAAACCTGTACGTGAATGCTCCCAGCAGCACTCCTCACACTGGCTAAAACACAGAAACAGCCCAGATGGTGATGGATGGATGGATGGAGAAACAAAACCCGTGTTATCCGTATGACGCACGGCTACTCAGGGATGAAGGAACGAAGCACTGATAACACTAAGTGAAGAAATCCAGAC